TTAGAAAGAGAAAAGTTTAAAATCAATAATCTTAGCTTCCACTTTAAGAAAGTAGGTAAAGGAAAACAATTAAAAAAAAGAAATTAAGTAAAGATAAGAGCAGATATCAGAGAAATAAACAACAGATAAAATTCAAAGTAGATATTTGGTTCTTTGAAAAAAAATAAGTAAAATTGATAAAACTTTCACAATATTGGTCAAGGGAAAATAAGAGAAAACACAAATTACCCACATGAGGATGAAAAAAGCAGTATTATAAACAAACAAATTTGACAACTTGGATGAATAGATAGAATTCTTTGAAAAACCCAAATTATTAAAAGCAACACAAGATATCCAAGATCTATAAAGAACTTCTCAAACTTGACACCCAAAAAACAAATAATCAAGTCAAAAAATGGGCAGAAGACATGAACAAACCCTTCTCAAAAGAAGACATACAAATGGCTAACAGACACATGAAAAAATGTTCATCATCATTAGCCATCAGGGAAATTCAAATCAAAACCACATTGAGATACCACCTCACACCAGTTAGAATGGCAAAAATGGACAAGGCAAGAAACAACAAATGTTGGAGAGGTTGTGGAGAAAGGGGAACCCTCTTACACTGTTGGTGGGAATGCAAGTTGATACAGCCTCCTCGGAAAACAGTGTGGAGGTTCCTCAAAAATTTAAAAATAGAACTACCTTATGACCCAGGAATTGCACTACTGGGTATTTACCCCAAAGACAAAGGTGTAGTGAAAAGAAGGGCCCTATGCACCCCAATGTTCATAGCAGCAATGTCCAGCCAAACTGTGGAAAGAGCCGAGATGCCCTTCAACAGATGAATGGATAAAGAAGATGTGGTCCATGTATACAATGGAATACTACCCAGCCATCAGAAAGGATGAATACCCAACTTTTGCATCAACATTATTAGGATGAATACCCAACTTTTGCATAAATAGGTTATGCTAAGTGAAATAAGTCAAACAGAGAAAGTCAATTGTCATATGGTTTCACTTATCTGTGGAACATCAGGAATAGCAGGGAGGACATTAGAAGGAAGAGAAAAATGAAGGGGGGGAAATCAGAGGGAGAGAGAATGAGAGACTATGACTCTGAGAAACACACTGAGGGTTCTAGAGGGGAGGGGGTGGGGGGATGCGTGAGCCTGGTGATGGGTATTAAGGAGGGCACGTTCTGCGTGGAGCACTGGGTGTTATGCACAAACAATGAATCATGGAACACTGCATCAAACACTAATGATGTACTGTATGGTGACTAACATAACATAAAAAAAAAAAAGCAACACAGAAGAAAGAGAAAATTTGAACATCCTTAAACATGTTAATGAAATTAAATTCACATTTGAATAATTTCTCACCAAGAAAACTCCAATCCTAGACGGTTTTACTGGTGAATTCTATCAAACATTTAAAAAGAAAAATATCCATATTATACAACTCATTCAGAAAATTGAAGAGGGAAGACATTTTAACAGTTTTTTAAGGCCAGCATAACCCTGATACCAAAATGAGACATGTACATTACAAAAATAAATAAATAAATAAATAAAAACTATTGCCCAATACTCTTCATTAACATAGATGCAATCTATATTAAGTAGGTATGTAAATCTAGAAATATATAAAAAAGGATAATATATTGAGATTAAGGGGTTTATCCTAGGAATGCAAGGACATTTAAGCATTTGAAAATCAATCAAAGTACTTTACCCCGTTAACTGCATAAAACAGAAAAATTATCTGATCATCCAGATAGATGGAGAAAAACATTAGATGTAATTCAATATATATTCATGATTTAAAAAAAACAAAATAAAACTCTTAGTGTACAAGAAATAGGAAGGAACTTCCTCAATCTGATAAAGAACACTGATAAAAAAGCTATAGCTGGGGGCGCCTGGGTGGCTCAGTCGGTTAAGCGTCTGCCTTCAGCTCAGGTCATGATCCCGGGGTCCTGGGATCGAGCCCCGCATTGGGCTCCCTGCTGGGCTGCCTGCTTCTCCCTCTCCCACTCCCCCTGCTTGTGTTCCTTCTCTCGCTGTCTCTCTCTGTCAAATAAATAAATGAAATCTTAAAAAAAAAAAAGCTATAGCTGACATCATACCTAATAGTGAAAAAATTTCCCCTAAGAATGGGAATAAACAAGGATGTCTGCTCTCACCATTTCTGTTAAATTGTAGGAGGGGCCAGGGGCAATACAACATGACAATGAAAAAATAAAGAGTATAAACAGATTTAGGAAGGAAGAAGTAAAACTATCTACAGATGCCATGATTGTATATGTAGACAATATTCACCTACAAAAAATCTGCTAAAATTAGTAAGTGAATTTAACAAGACCACAGTATACAAAGTCAACAAGCAGAATTAATATTCCTCTATAATAACAAATAAATAGAAAATAAAAAATTTCAAGTAATATTTATAGCAGCATCAAAAATACTTTGGGATACATTTAATAGAAATATGTGTAAAGCTTCTACATTGAAAATTATAAAACACTGCTGAAGACCCAAATAAATGGAGAGACATAATGTATTCAAGAACTGGAATATTTAATATTATTAAGTTGTCAATTCTCCCCTAAATTACTCTGCAGCTCCCATACCATTCTAAACAAACTCTCAGCAGTTTTTTTTTTTTAAATAGAAACTGACAAGCTGATTATAAAATTTATGTAGAAATGCAAAGGACTTACACTGCCTGATTTCAAGAGAAATAGCCCAACACTTACCAGTCAATTTAATTTTCAACCAAGGCACCAAGCAATTCAATGGTGAAAGGAAAGCCTTTTCAACTCCCCCTTGAATGCAACAAAACAAAACAAAACACAAAAACAACAAAAACTTTGACCCATACCCCACACCATCACAAAGATTAATTTTTAATAGATCATAGGGCTAAATCTAAGGAGGTAAAAGCTATAAATCTTCTGGCAGAAAATACAGGAAAATACTTCTGTGAACCTGGAGTATCGAAGGTGTCTTAGTACCCAGAAAGCACAGACCACAACTAAAGAATTGATTTACAGTGGACTTCGTTAAGTTTTAAAATCTTTGTTCATCGTAAGACCCATTAAGAGGATTAGTAGACAAGGCAGAGATTGGTAATAAACATTTGCAATGTAAAAATATGCCAATATATGAACAATGTGTGTAAGTCTATAATAAAAAGACCAACAACCCAATTAAAAAAAAAAGGAAAAGACTTAAAAAGGTACTTCACAAAGGAAGATATGTAAGTAGCCAATAAGCACATGAAAAAGAATTCCTGGTCACTAGCCATCAGAGAAATTTAAAGTAAAACCTCAGTGAAATACCATTACACCCTCAACAGAACGGCTAAAATTAAGAAGACTAATAACACCAAATATTGATGAGGATGTGGAGCAATGGAAGCTGTCATAGCTGACTCGTGGGAGTGTAAAATATACAACCACTTTGTAAATCAGTCTGGCAGTTTCTTAATAAGGGTACACCTGTCTGAACCAGTTATTCCAATTCTAGGTTTTACCTAAGAGAAATAAAAACATGTACATAAAAAGTCTTGCATAGGAATGTTCATAGCAGCTTTATTAAGAATGTCCCAACACTGCAAACAACCCAAATGCCTATCAACATAAGAATGGATAAAGAGGGGCACCTGAGTGGCTCGGTGGGTTAAACGTCTGACTCTTAATTCCAGCTCAGGTCATGATCTCAGGGTTGTGAGACTGAGCCCAGTGTCCGGCTCTGCGCTGGGCATGGAGCCTGCTTAAGATTCTCTCTCTCCCTCTCCCTCTGCCCCTCCACCCGTCCCCAACCCCCTGCCCGCTTGCTCTTGTGCTCACTCCCTAAAAAAAAAAGAATGGAAAAACAAAGCATGGTATAACCATAACCAAATACTACTCATCAATAAAAAAGAAAAACTACTGATAAAACAACATGAGTGAACCTCAAAAACATAATGCTGAATGAAAAAGCCAGACACAGTAGAGGGCACACAATGTCATTCATATGAAATTCTAGAAATGGGAAAAATAATCTATGATGAAAGCAATTGGAACAGTGTTTGTCTCTGTGGATGGAGGAATGGGATTGGCTGAGAAGTCAATAAGGGGCCTTCCTGGGGTGATGGAAATATTTGTTATATTGATAGGGGTGTGGATTCTATGGGTGCACCCAGCTATCAAACCTCATCAGACTGTATACTTAAGATCTGTGTATTTCAACATATGATGTTATACCTCAATTAGAAAAAAAAAAGTTATGAGAAGTAAATTGAAAAAAATATTAAACTACAGTAACAAACAAGTAAAGTCTGCTCTTAAGAAAAATCAAAATAAATCTGGGACCTACTGACACTGAAGACTTAGTGATTAAGAAAAAAGGAGAAAAAGGAAGGAGGGATAAGCCATCATTTATGGAGGGCGTACTAAGATCTCTGCTAACTGCTTTCCATGAATTCTCTCATTTAATTTCCACAACAACCCACTTTCTAGATATAGAAGACAGTTTATAAACAAATCTTCCCTCACCGCCCTTAGCAAACACCTTGTATAAACTCAAGCACCAGGACCCTTTTTGCTCTTTTTCTCAATTTCAGGCAATAAGTGGTAGATGTTTTTCTTAAATCGACTACTATCCCTCAGAAATATGAGCCAAAGAAAAAAAAATACCTATTACCATTTTTTGGTTTCAGCAAACTCATAAAATATGTAAAGTGGTCTATGACCACAATTTTTAAAATGTCTTAATTCCTATACAACTCCTATTTCTAGACGATCTGCCTCTCACATTGCAAGTCGGGGACTAGAAAGCATGATTTGCCTAATAAATGTTTTACCTCATGCTCACTGCTAACCCGAGTCTAGTACAACCTCCCTACCAGCTCAACTAGGCTGCTGCATAAACAGCAGGATTTTGTTTTGTTTTGTTTTGTTTTTTGATAAAACAGGTAGTTTTACAAAAGGGTAACAGGAATCGGAAGGGGTAAGACGGTCCTTACCACATCCAATATGGCGTGGACCAACACATCCAGATACACCGTGGTGGCCTCAGTCCAGTCGTGAACTGGCCTCACTGCCTTGTGATATTTCTGTAGTAGCTGCTTGGTGAGACGGTACAGAGCAGGACTCCTGGGGTGAGGCATATCTATGGCTAGGATTTCTGAAAAACACAACTGTCATCGTGAGGATGAAAATAAGAGGAGCTTAGCATCTTGAGAAGATCTCAGACTATTCAAGACTTGGTGGCTCCTAGCAGAATACCGTTTTCAGCTTACTCCAAACTGCTGAAGTTCCCAGCCAGCTGGTGGGCTTTTTGGCAGATGCTTATTTAAAGTAAACTGACTGCCCAACAGAGACAGCTCATTGTGACAATAAATAAATCAACCCGATCTCCAAGGATCCAAACTGCACCTACAATTCTGTTTTCACAGCAATCATGAATCTTGGAGACAGAATCTTTTATTCCTGTATCACCCCCTCCTGATACACAGAAAAAAACCTTCCTATACACTTAGCCAGAAGTGATCTCTTCCTTGGATTTTTCTTTTGATTTTCTTCCATTTGTAATTCAATAGTTAAATTGGAAATCCAAGCAGAAACATGGACAAACCAGTGAACCCAAAGATCTGTGTGGATTCCTAAATAATGGGATTAATAAAATTCCAATTCATACTTTTCTCCTCAAAAAAAAAAAATCTCTTTTCTCACTCAACTGTCTTTAAATAAAACACATTTGTCAGAAAATGAGATCTTCGTTTTGGGAAAATTCTTTCTGGTTCCAGAGAAGAACCATTCTTTATGACCTGGGAATCCTGGTTTGTAGAGGCGCGGTGATTGGTGTTGAGGTAGGGGAGGCCAGGGGAAAAGAAGCAAGAGAAATGAGCACCAACAATTGGAACTGACAAATTTGTGAGGGTTTCCTCTGAATTGCAAAAAGATATTTTGCTCACAAGCTTTGCTAGCTCCTGGGGGATTCAAAGCTTCGCTAAGTCATTGGACTGAAGCAAATTGCACACCTCCTGCCATAGTGCGTGAGTGAAATCTATCTGTAGTGTCCTGTGCGTGAATTCAGCTCACCTCTCAGTGGTTTTGATGGTTATTTTGATGAGCTGCTGAAGGTATGCGGGATCCAGCAGGAAACTGTAAATGAGATATCTTCTCCCTGTGCGACAGATCTGTTTATACCCATTTCTTTATGAATGATGTCGTGTCACCCGCCGCCACAGGCAGCAATTTCTATGATTTATCAATGTCGGTGTGACCAAAATGCTAACAACGACGCTGGAGGTGCAATTGCAGACTCATTGTGGGAGTGGAAAATTCACTTTCATTACCACCAGAGCTGCGAAGCTAATGAGCATTTTAACTCGCTAACTATTCACCCAAGAAGATGCCTAAGATGGCATCTACTCTTCAGGCATGCAGGACTAAGGTAGGTGGCTTGCAGCAGGCATCATTTTTAGGGTTTTTGTGAACCGTGATTGTCAGAAAAATGTGCTATGAATCTCTCTACCTGAGATCGTTTCTTGCTGGGGTACCCCAGGGGAGAGAAATCAGGAGCACAAAGCAAAGCTGGTCTGGTGCTTTTCCTGTGAACTTCACTCTGGGCAACTTCACTTTCACCTTGCTTGGGAGCTCCCAATTCAAGTCCCAGTTGGGGAAACACTGAAATGTGCATGTTTCAATACAGGAAACTATCTGAGACAGAGTAAAAACATAATTCTGGGAGATGAATGTGTTTCCTCTATACCCTCTGCTCATAAAGACTCAAATTCCCTTCTGCTATCTTTTCTAGGAAACAATCCATACGTCCCCTATGGATAAACATATCTTCCAGAACATATCAAAGAGAAAGTTTGGAATCTAGAACTAGGAACAACAGAGAAACAAGCAACGATAGGAAAAATAAGGAAATGAAAGTATGCTTAAATAAACTATAAGGGTAAAGCGTTCTTTGTTTAAAATGGGAAGAAATAATAAATTACATTTCTACTATGAATGCAAATTTGCCTGAGGAGAAAGATCAATTACAGGAGAGAGATTAAGGATTTAAGTGACCATTAATTAACAGTAAATTATGCCCCTTGAAAGCTAATGTGACATTCACACAAGCACTAAATGACTCACAGTTCAGTGATGTTTCAACAGACACTGATGGAAGCTATCCACAGACCCAGGAAAGACTCCTCGTTAGCACTGCCTCTATGGATGTTAATAATTGGCTCCAAATAATTCACTTGTAAGATTTCTGGAAAGTAGAATGTGTCAGGGACTGAGCTATGAAGCACTTTTAGGTGAAGAGAGATTAAAAAAAAAAAGGTAAGAATACAATAGAATTATTCCTTTGTTTTCCTCGCTTTAACGAATTCTATCTTAAAGAGTTCTGGGCACTCTGATGAAAAGAGCTGTTCTCGCTGTAGTGAGTATGTCATCTTTAGGGTTATAAGAGTTATACATATATCTGAGAAGTTACAAGGAGATTGAGATTTAGGTGTGTGGTCTATTGAATTCCCTGTATGTCAGGCACTGGGCTAAGAGCATTTTACATGAATTATCTCATTTGGTTTTTACAATAGCCTTCACGGGACGGGTACTCTCCAGCCCCATGAGGAGTCCCTTTACTACAGGTGAGCGACTAGAGGCTTAGTGAGGTTCGGACCACCCAAAGTCCTACAGCTTACCAATGAAGAGGCTGGAATTTAAACACAATTGACTGATCTGGATGCAAAGCCCAAGCTCTTAATCATGACATTACACTGACCTGGCTGCCTGAGACTATTAGGGACAGCAGTGAGTAGCCCTTCAAAAGAGGACTGATGTGTTACATGGTGTACATCACTGGGCAAAAACAGCCCATTGTTATTTTCTGTATATGTATGTTTTCAGGTCATAAGTATCTTATATTTGCATTGCACCTCACAGTTTCACAATGCTATCTTATTTGATCTTTACAATATGCAAAATGAACATTTAACTTACAGGAAAACTGAATCTCTAAGAGATTAATTGGCTTGTTCAAGGTCACATGGCTGGTGAGTAGTGCAGGAGCAACTAAACGGGTCTCCTAATCTAGGCCTCTTACCCAGGACACTACTTTCAAGCAGCGGCCTTGAATTGGTGGTTGGCTTAGTGCTCTTGTATTTACAAATCATCTTGATATTAACCCAGCAAAAGTTCCAAAGGGCAGATTTTTCTGCAACACATGTCCCCAGTATGATTTATGGTCAAGCACTGATTACTAGGCACCATTAAAACACACTTTCTGTCACGTTTAGAGCAAAAATCAAGCATAATACAAAACATTAGAAAGAGACATCATTAAGAAGAATTCCTTCCTTTTCCTTACCTTTATTTCTCTATTTTGTCTTACTTAGCTTAATGTTCACAATTATTTTCTGCTAAGAAACCCATTTGGCATTTAATGAAATTTCCTGTTCTCATTTTTATAATTAAGATATGCTTTTATCCTTTAAGTTCAATGTTCAGGATTTCCCTACTTTAATGATAAGTGGCTATTTTTCTTCTCCACCCAATAAAAAATCATTTCCAGCTGCCAGGCTACCAAATTCCTTCCTCATCTCTGTAATTGACTCACTCCACTTCCAGTTACATTTGAAAACATGGAAACTCCTAGATATGAGCTCCAGGAGACCCCTCAAGAAAGTAGGGTGTTGGTGGGGACACCAGCATAAACATATATTCTTGATCTGTTGCCTGTTTTAAGAATCCATTGGATCCTAAGGCAAATGGCCCAATTCAGTGGAGGTAATACTCGTACCACAAAAGTTCAGTTCTAGAAATTCAGAAAAATATATTAGTTTTTAAAGTATTTTAAGGGGCATTGTACAATCAAAACATGCAAGTTTCTAGTACTTGTCTCTAGAGATATATTCACTATCTATACAAACTTTGTACGACGGGGGGAGACCCCTGATACCAAAATGATACCCAGGTGTCTGTGGCCATGCTGTATCCAAGAGACTCTTTCTCTGGGCTACTGAAAGCTTATAACGAAGCCAAGACTATTTTGGATAATAAAAATCTGTTATTCAGACATAAAAGCAAATCTAAAAAAGAATGCCCCAAACTATCGGCGTAAAGTGCCACAAAGAGAGCTTGATTTCTAGAGAAGCAGAGATTTATCAAACAATTAGAACATTTCAGAGCATATTTTCAGCTGTGTGTAAAAAGCCCCACTGTGTGACTCTGCTTGTATATATGTTTCTGTAATTGTGAGAGCAAAGACATAACAGATCACTGGGCTCCACGTAGCTTTGCAGGACTGGCATTTTACAGAGGATAAATAAAAACGAACACCTGTAAGGACTTATACAGCACAAGGTAGAAAAATATTGTCTCTAGCTTCTAAGAGGTAACATTCAACGCCTAAAATAAAATCATTGAAAGGACCCACCTGAGGCAGCCACCAGGACGAAGGGCCACAGAGGAACCATGGCACCTGCCCGTGTCCCCAGGCACGGCCCAAGGGAAGACATGTAAGCTTGCCTATCGGATGGACTGCCACTCAGTTTTTCCTAAAGGGGCTCCTCTTCACTCCATTCTTCTCTCTTGGCCAGTGGATGCTGTCCTTGCTGGTGCTATTTTGTAAACACTAAACAGGACCAAAGGCAATGCCAGCACCACACAAATGTTTTGGAATCGATACCACTGCGATACCCCTTAACTTCTCCATTTGGTTCTGCCCCAGGATCAGATCATGGCCAACATTTCAATTTCCCTGACAGGAGATAGCTAAGTGAATAATGTAATCTAAGAGGAGCCCCTAAGGAGAGGAAATTCCACACTAATATGATTTCCTTTACAGTCTTTACCTAAGGCAGTGCTCTTGCTGACATTCAGGACACTAATTTCATTAATAATTGAGTTCTAAATAGCTGTTCTAAATCAGACTTATGCAGCTACATCTTCAGCATTTGACAGTGGCTATTGGACTCTGGAATTACACAAAGCTAATGGAAACCTGGTATTGTCTAATGAAGAACCACTGCTAACAATACAGTGGGAAAAGTGCTTTTTGTTTTTCCTAAGCCCCTTTAATTAAAAGAAACATCGATTTTTGATAAATGGGAGTGCATCTTCAATTGTCATGGCGTACAGTTCAGAAAGTAACTACATATGAGAGGATGCTTCCAGGCTTATTGAAGATGAGAGTTACTAAAGTTTAACATCATTCGATAAGATTTTTCTTTCACTTTTTGCTTGAGTATCCATCCGCTCTTTATTATTAAGGAAAAAGAGGCATGATTCTATATAACTCTATCTGCCATTGGTAGAACCCTAGATGCTCTAGAAACAAAAACTAAATTCCATACCATTTCCAGCGTCTGTCTGCTTTTTACTGTAGAGGCACAGGATTGAGATGAGTTTCAAGGAGCAAACTGAGGGGGAAAAGTACATACCTGATCCCTCTTCTCCTATTCAGTCCCTTTGTTTAGAATCTATGAAGCTCTCGTCTTAATTTTCATCTACCTATAAAATGTAGCCCGATTGGTGTCCTGTTGGTGACAGGAGTTACAAATATGGAAATGGACAAAACTAGGACAAGCCCGTGGTGTTGAGTTGGTTTTGTAGGTATCAGCATGAACTCATGGTTCTCAATACATGTTGCTAAAAAGGGAAATAAACACAGATGGAAATGTGTGTGTAAACATGTCCTTACAAACATACATCCCTAGCTCTGTCCACCAGTGGGTCTGGGGAGAGGGACACCCCAGTAGCAATGAGTATACCCAATACCCAGAGCTTAGTTTCTAAATAACATACCTACCTAAAAGGAGGAAATGGAGAAATGACTGATTTCAGGGATGGACAGGAGAAGTGTAAGAAGAGCCTAGAACATCTCGTTGCATCACAAAGTAAAGAAGTGCTAAAACGAATAATAGGGACATGGGCAAAGGACATAAGCAGCCTGAAGGGTCTCCCACTTGCCAAATCTGGGACAATTCCAGCATCAAAATCAATAATGATGGTGAAGAATTATAACCCACTAAATAAACTACTAATCCACAAGTCCATGCTGATTTAAACAAATGAATGGCAAGAAGAGAAGGCTTTTCCTCAAGTTAGAATGCCAACTAATAAGGGCGCCTGGCTGGCTCAGTTGGTTAAGCGACTGCCTTCGGCTCAGGTCATGATCCCGGAGTCCCAGGATCGAGTCCCGCATCAGGCTCCCTGCTCAGCAGGGAGTTTGCTTCTCCCTCAGACCCTGCCCCGTCTCCTGCTCTCTCTCTCACTCTCTCAAATAAAATCTTTAAAAAAAAAAAAAAAAGAATGCCAACTAATAAATGTGGAAGGAATGCTAGAATCTTCATAGTAATTATTCACTCAAGAAACATCAATGTCTGATAAAAACTAGTTGGTGAAAGTTTGATGAAAAACAGGACACTTACACAAGATACTCATTAATCACAATGATTAAAAAAACACACACACACACACAACTTTCCATGGAGAAATCTGGCAGACAACACCTTAATCAAACAATGAAAATTAACATTACCAATCATGGGAGTTGTGTGCCATGAGACAGGAGGAATTGAGAAGACACAGCTGCATTTCTGCTATCATCCTGCAAAAAATTCAAAACTTGAATCTATCCAGGAGGAAACACCAGATAACCCCATACCGTGGGACATTCTACAAAATAGGCATATCATCTTCAAGAGTGTCAAGGTTATGAAAGTTAAGGAAAGACTGAGAAACTATATCACACAAAAAAGCAGATTAAAGAGACATGATGACTCAGTGCAACGTGTGATTCTGGCTTGGATCCTGTTGTTACAAAGAACATCTTGGGGAGAATTCATAAAACTCAAACTGGGGCCTGTAGATTAGATGGTAATGATGTAGCAATGCTAATTCCCTGATTTTGATGGAATTGAGATCATGCGAGGTTCTTGTTTGTAAGAATCACACACTGAGTACTCACAGGTGACAGAGCATCATGTTGGCAGTTTATTCTCATTTGGTGGTGGGGGGGTTCATTCTACTATTCTTCCAACCTTGCTGTGTATTTGAAAATATTTCAGAAAAAAATGTAATCTGGTAGAGGAAATTTGATACAAAGTTATGAAAAGTTTGAGAAATATCCTTTAGAGAGGGTGGCCAGATAAATGGGGCTTTATTAAGAGAGAAGATCACCAAGGATTGATCTGGCCACCAATGTCCCAGGCCTGTCCATCGGGAGAAAGGCAAGCTACAGGCAGCATATCCATGTGCACCGCACTTTTTATGGGAAGGCAACGTGGAAGCTTGCCTTTATGCAAAGGTTTAATCGAGATGATGATCGACATTATATTCTTGCCACGCATTTCAGTAAGCCATGGCTCTAAGTCAAACCTTCTGGGACATGCTTCCCCTCCCTTTTCTTCTCCCTTCCTCATATATCCATCTGTTACTGGAAGGCCATTGCTAATGATGTGTAATACAGGTACATTACGACTTTCATTAGCTAATTTAACAACAGTCTGGTGATCCTGCCCATTACAGCTCTTAACTGGCTGATGAATTCTGCCAAGATGGGAAAGGTTCTGTGTGAGTGACTGGTCTTCAAAATAGTTTCTATACAGATGCTTCCTGATCTTTCTTGATCGCCCTGCTCTGCATCACCAGATGGCTCAGATATTTCTTTTTCCTAACTTACTGTCCTGTCTGGATGTAGTTTGTTTACTCAGTGCCTTTAGATTTGGTATCTCTTCACTGTTCAACCTTTAGTTTTTCATGAAAACTGTCTGTTCTCCTTAATACAGTACTTTTTAACTCACATTGTTTCTTATAATCCATTACTCGAGGATCTCACCCCCACTACCCCACTCTTAGCTCTTTAGGAAGGATGAATGTGAGATGAACCCCATTCAGGCCCTTCAAGCAGATCAGTGTATTAAAATAAAAAAATTGAAATTGCCAGGAGCTCAGCATTCAGGCTTCTTAAATATCAGCTGGGAAAAGAAAGACTTATTAATCTGAAGTTTAAATCTGCTGTTTCCTGAACACAGTTTAGGTCGGGCCTACAACTGAGTACCTAGAGATGTATTCCTTTCAGTAGCCCCCTCTCCACATTCCCATGAGCCCTTATACTTTGTTTCTCCATCATTTCCAAGTAAGATATGACACCTCTTAGCTGGACCAATGTCTTTTAGAAGAAGGCGGGGAGAGGGTTTATTATGCAAACATAATAAGGAAGTGTTTATTATGCAAACAGCGACTGAGTTATGTGTCCTTTAAGACTACTAAATAGTTTTTAATTACCGCTATATCAGTAAATCCCATAAATATGCAAATGCAATTAGTTCACAAAATAGACCTTAAATATCTTTATTCCTCTCCCACAAAGTTCTTTGAAGTTAATCGCTAACTCTCTTTGTTCACTCCCTTGGCAGTTGTGCTAAAATTGACAGGAATTTTGACAGATGTACATATTCGGGGGAAACCAGATTTTCTGAGCACATCTGGTCAGGCTGGAGGAGAAAAGTAGAAATGGATGCTCCAGCCGAAATCAAATATTTAATGAGTAGAGTCGCATATGAAATTTCTTTTACTCCATAGCATTATCCTCTGAAATAAATATCAAGGTAACTACTGGGGGTACTTCAAAGTCCAAAGCCACACTCAACATTTGATTTTCTTCTGGCTCAGAATTTCATTTTTAATCATAACGCACATTTTTTTCTGGTCCTTAAAAATGAATGCATGAATAAACAAACAGAGGAATAGTACCCCCCATGACTCTGGCCCTTCATGGCTATGTGACATGGTTTTCTATGGGAAGTCAAAGAACACGGGCGTTAGTTTCCAGGCTTTTGAGTCTGACATTTCATTTTCCCTCCCTGCTCCATCACTTGCTAGATGGCTCATGGCCTTGGTCAAATTGCTTACCATTTCTAAGCGTTAGTTTTGACATCCGTATAACAGGCTCTGTTTAGTTTTCTATGGCAACATAACAAATTACCACATACTTGGCAGCTTCAACCAAAACTCATTTATGAGCTCATGGTTCTGTAGGTCAGAAACCCAGGCACAACTTGAATGGATTCTCTGCTCAGGGTCTTAGAAGGTGAAATCATGGTTGAATACTGGAGCTGGCTCTTACTGCAACAAAAAAGCCGACTGTGTGTTGACCTTCCCAACTCTGTGTTCAGCGACATCCGGTTAGTAGCTTGAAATCAGCCATGATGGGAAGGTCTGCCACACTTAGAAATCAGCAAACGCTACCAATCAGGAGGGCTCCTCCCACCAGCTGGCTGCTGAACATCTGCTAGTGTGCCGTGGCCCACTCCCTGAACCTCCGGGGCCTCATAGAGACCTCCTATATGATAGCATTTTTTCAAGTATATTATGACTTTTTTTTTTTAATTAGACTATTTGTTTACTTCCCTATTTCTTCCAGAATCCTGTGAATTCCCTGAGGGTAGAGCACTGTGCCTTATTCATCTCTGTATCTCCAGCACAGAGCTTGGCACCTACTTAGTACTCACTAAATTTGTGAGAAGGATGGAGCAAAGAGAGGGAGGGAAGAATTGACAAGTGGGCAGAAAAGAAGCTTGGTTTATGCAAGAAAGAGGACACCAAAAAGGACGAGCTTTTTCACAACCATACCCAACCCAATATGCTGTTCTTCCACCACCAACTCACACAGGATGGGTGGGATCTTCAGAGCGAGACTGCTTTTATTTGGTTTGCTCCAGAACCAGCCAGCCAGCAGTGCAAAGGATAAATGTGGGACACAGACACAGGTAGTTCATGCCTCTCTGATTCTCTCAGAGGCTGACTCAAATTCAGGGGTCTCACAGTTACCTGGAGTGAGATGTGCCCCCAAAACTAGAGGAACATGGAATCACAGGTTTGCTGCTGCTTTTCATGCCTCTGACTACATTAGCTCCAGGACACGGCTTCAACTGCAATGGAAGGCAGGTAGTCTGACTCAGTGGTCCGTGCTGTCCAGGCCTTCTGCACAGGTGATGGGCCTTGAAGTCTTGCTGTGCCAGCTCTGGGAATCTTCCCTGATCTGTGGCTCAATGCAGGACACAGGACCTCTCCATGTAGGCCCATTTAGAACTCTTCTGTGGAGGGGCACCTGGGTGGCTCAGTCGTTAAGCATCTGCCTTTGGCTCAGGTCATGATCCCAGGGTCCTGGGATCAAGCCCCGCATCAGGCTCCCTGCTCGGCGGGAAGCCTGCTTCTCCCTCTCCCACTCTGCCTGCTTGTGTTCCCTCTCTCGCTGTGTCTCTCTCTGTGAAATAAATAAATAAAATCTTAAAAGAAGAAAAACAAAACAAAACAACTCTTCTGTGGAGAGGCCACGGTCAACCACAGCAGGTGAAAGATATTCTGGTTCGGGTCTAAATTTCTGGATATTTCCAACCCTGCTATGGACTTAAGATGGGGCAAGGGCTTTGATCTGTTAGAGCTTGCTTTATTTATCCATTCATCTGCTCACTATGTGGGGAATTGTGGCTGACACTGGGTAATATAAGAAAGTTCAAGGAACTTGGAACAGAGGTGATAGATAAGACCCATTTAGAATGCAATGAGATGAACACGAGCTAGCCGGTGAGTGAACAGGGAACAATGGAAGCAAAAACAAGAGGCAGACTTGGGTCGGGTGAGGAGAGGTTTTTCACAAATGGCTTTTGTGTTGGGAAAAGACGGTCAATTAGGTGAGGGCAGGGAGAGCGGAGCTCTTAGCAGAAGGAACAGGGTATGGAAGGGCTGGATGGTACCTTCCTTTGTAAAACTGGGGAGCAGACAGGACCCAGGTTTCTACCTGAATCTGTTGTTTTCTGACTTGCAATTCTAATTGCCCAAATAAATGCCTGTTGCTTTAAAAAATAAATAAAATAAAGTAAAATCAAATAAAATTAGGGAGACAATAATTGTAGACTCATGAGATGAGTGGATTAACAAACTCATGTTGCAAAGTGTTGAGGGGGGGAATAAAACAGAAAAGGGAAATATTGTATAAGTCTGTATAAGTGCCATTATTATAAAGCAGTCTCCAAATGGCCTGTAGCAATTATTCTAAAATGCACAACAGCTGTATTTGTGCCCCTTCTGCCATTGCTGAAATTTACACTGTCATTGCTCCAGGCGGAAGGCTTGGCACTAATAATAGGCTGGCTGACTATGGCTGGAGTGTGACAGACCTCTAGTTAGAGCCCTTGAAGCCTGAGAGAGAAGAGGGGGACAATGAAAAGCACAGTGGAAACCAAAGTAGATGTCGTCAGAGCGCCGCCTTGTGGCAGTCACTGCACCCACAGCCCCGGAGAGCTCCAGCCAACTCCCGGGTGTTTTACTCCACTGTGCACGTTTCCAGGACTTCAGAGTTATGCCACGCCTCTATTCACTAGTCTCCCTTCTTTGCTCTAAACATTCCTCTTCAGGTTCCCCAACACCACCCTGTCTAATCTATTTCTACTCTGCTTGCAACTGTCAGCAAATTCCTCCCTGCTTGTTTCTTGACTCTTGCTTCTCCAAACTCTTGGTCCCTAGGAACACCCGAGGTTCCCAGGGACTCAGTGACTCTTTAAGGGGTAGCTTCCCTACTTTCTTCCTAAGAGTGGAAATAAATAAAGCCTTGGTCCTTCCCCTCTGAAAAGTTATAAACAGTATTACTAAAAACCATATAGGATTTTAATGTTAGAAAGTTCCGCCTTTTCTAGAATGTCCTAAAGGTAGAACCATACAGTATGTAGCCTTTTCAGAACCAGACCTATGAATGCAGAGAACAAATGGATGGGTGCCAGACGGGTGGGGGGTGGAGGGTTGGGCAGAACAGGTGACGGGGAGTGGGAGGTACAGGCTTCCGGTTATGGAATGACTAGGTGACTGTATAAGGAATATAGCTAATGATGTAATACTGAGGTATGGGGACAGATGGTAGCCACATTTGTGGTGAACGTAGCATAATGTATAAATTTCTTTGCATCATTATGTTGTACATGTGAAACTAATGTAACATTGTGTGTCAACTACACTCAAATAAAAAAATAAAATAAAACCATACATTTCCTCTAAGCACTGGGTTAGTGGCATTGCACAAATTTTGATATGTTGTATATTCATTACTTTTCTGTTTTTTTTTTAAGATTTTATGTATTTATTTGTCAAAGAGAGAGAACAAGCAGGGAGAGTGACAGGCAGAGGGAGAAGCAGGTTCCCCGCTGAGCAAGGAGCCTGATGCGGAACTCGATCCCAGGACCCTGGGTCATGACCTGAGCTGAAGGCAGATGCTTAACTGACTGAGCCACTCGAGTGTCCCATCATTACTTTTCTGCTCTAAATATTTTCTAATTTCTCTTGTGATTTTCTTGCCCCATAGATTATTTAGAAGTTGTTTATTTTAAAATTTGGGATGTTTTTATAGATACTGTATAGATCTTCCTCGACTTATGATGGGGTTATATCATAAGTTGAAAATACAATTAAGTGGAAAATGCTTGTAATACACCTAACCTCCCAAACATCATAGCTTCACCTAGCTGACTTTAGATGTGCTCAGAACACGTATATTAGCCTACGGTAGGAGAGAATCATCTAACACAAAGCCTGGTTTATAATAAAGTGTTTAATATCTCATACAATTTATTGAATACTATACTGAAAGTGAAAGCCAGAATGGTCGTATGGGTACAAAGTGATTATAAGTGGATCAGTTGTTGACCCTTGAGATCTGTTGGGAGCTGGGGCTTACGCCTGCTGCCCAGCATCATGAGAGAGAATCATATTGCATAGCACTAGCCCAGGAAAAGATCAAAATTCAAAGTATAGTTTCTAATGAATGTGTATCATTTTCACACCATCATAAGGTTGAAAAATCATAAGTGGAATCATCAAAAGTTGGGGACCATATGCATTTTTCTTGATTTTTAATTTGATTTTGTTATGGTCAAGGCACATATTCTATGATTTTGATAATTTTATTTTGAATGAGAGGTGTTTTATGGGTTGGCATATGATTCATTGCAAAAGCACCACGTATACTTGAAAGGAATGTGTATTCTGCTATTGTTAGTTGTAACATTCTGTATCAATTAGATCAAGGTGGTCGATAGTGTTGTTCAGATTATATTTTCATTGTTTTTTTCTGCCCCTTGATGGACCACTTCCTGTGGGATGTTAAAATCTCCTACTACTATTGTGGAATTGTCTGTTTCTTCTTTTTTATTCTTTCAATTTTTGCTTCATGTATTTTTGAAGCTCTGTTATTAGGCAAATACGCACTTATGATTATTATGTCTTCTTGATGAATCAATGCTTTTGCCGTTATAAAATGACCTTCTTTGTTTCTGATAGTACTCTTTTTCACGGGTCTATTTTGTCTGATACTAATACCACTGGATACCACTCCAGCCTTTCTGTGTTAACTGCTTACACGGTGTCTTTGTTTGGACTGCAATAACAGAATACCATAGACTGGGTGGCTTATAAACAACACAAACTTATTTCTCACAGTTCTAGAGGCTGGAAGTCTAAGATCGGGGTGCCGGCACAGTCAAGTTCTGGTGAGGGATCTCTTCTGGGTTGCAGACTGCCGACTTTTTTTATCCTCACATAATGGAAAGAGGACTAGGAAGCCCTCTGGGGTCTTTTATAGGGCACTAATTCCATCAGGAGGGCTCCACCCTCATGACCTAATCACCCCCAGAAGGTCTCACCTCCTAATACCATCACATTGGGAGGTTAAGATTTCAATATATGAGTTTGGGGGAGACAGAAACATTCAGTCCATGGCACATGGTATATCTTCTCCTTCAGCCTACATGTGTCTTTATATTTAAAGTGCATCTCTTGCATATAGCATACCTGGGTCTTCCTTTTAATTCTGTTTTGTTAATTTCTGCTTTTTAATTGAAATATTTGACCCACTAATATTTAAAGTAGTTATTGATACAGTTGGATTTAAATCTCCCATTTTATTGTTTGTTTTCTATATTCTCCTGTTTTTTTATTCCTCCTTTTCTGCCTTTTTTTTTTTTTAAAAAGATTTATTTATTTATATGAAGCAGAGAGAAGACATCACAAGTAGGTAGAGTAGCAGGCAGAAGCAGGCTCCCACCAAGCAGGGAGCCGGATGTGGGGCTTGATTCTAGGACCCTGGGATCATGACCTGAGCTGAAGGCAGACAATTAATGACTGAGCCACCCAGGCGCCCCTCTGCCTACTTTTGGATTTTTTGGTTTTTAATATCCAAGATTACCTATTAGCATTTTAGCCATACTTTCTGCACAATTTACTTAGTGGTGACGCTAGGAATTAAAATAAACATTCTTAACTCCTCACAGTCTACTTTTAGAGTTACTACTGTACTTTCCCATAAAATGTAGTAATTCTGCAATCATTTGGTTCCATTTATTAGCCCTGTCATTATTTATGCTTGTTGTCAGATGCATTACATCTAAACAGACACACACCGTAAGACAATGTTACAGTTTTCCCCTTACACAATGTGTACCCTACTATGAAGCCAATTCAATGACTTTATAATTTCAGATACTGCTTACTTTTGAAATTTTTTTATTTTGCTCTTGTTTATATTTTATAACTATCTGTTGAGGTTTTACTGTTTTTTCATTTATTACGAGTATGTTTTCCTTTACTCCACAGAGTATAGTTATCATAGATGCTTTAATGTTCTTGTCTGATTAATTCTAATATCTTGATCTGGTCTCTGTCTCTTCCCTTGATAATGGGTCATATCTTCCTGGTTCTTTATCTATCAAAGTAATTTTGGATTATATCCTGCATATTATATTTTACTGAGATTCTGAATTCTGTTATGTCTAAAGGGTAGAGAGAGAGAGTGTGTGTGTGTGTGTGTGTGTGTGTGTGTGTAAAATCTTCCTCCAATGAATGTTGATGTTTTTGTGCTTTAGAAGTGAATTAATTTGATGAGACTCAAACTGCAAACGGTCTCTTTTGGATGTAGGCAACCGCTCAGAGCTCATCTGATTTCTTTTATCCTTTTTGAGGTGCTTTGTGTCTATAGTAGAAGGGTCAGCCAGAGACTGGGGTAGAATCTGCACAAAAACCTAGGGATCCTTTTCTCTACCTCTCTCCTTTTCAAATTCCCTCCTTGCTTTTGGGTGAGCATATTTGTCCTAACCTCTAGTTTGTGGTTTCTCAGGCCAGAAGCCTGCTTGGTTTTCTATCAGCACTTCCACCACCTCCTGTCATGCTGTGACTATGGCCTGTTGCCTGAGTAAAGCTGCAAAACTGAGGCACACACCCCTTGTCAGACCTCTCTTCTGTGTTCTCTCTTTTTTTTTAAGATTTATTTACTTTAGAAAAAGAGAGAGCGTGCGAGCGTTGCAGGGGGAGGGGCAAAGGGAAAGGAAGAGAGAGAGAGACTCTTCAGCAGACTCCCTTCGGAGTGCAGAGCCCAACACGGGGCTTGATTTCAAGACACTGAGGTCATGACCTGAGCTGAAATCAAGAGTCGGACACTCAACCAACTGAGCCACCCAGGGGCCCTTAATGTTTTATTTTTTTAAGTAGGCTCCACACCCAGCATGGAGCCCAATGTGAGGCCCAAACCTAGGACCCCAAGATCAAGACTGAGATTAAATCAAGAGTCAGACGCTTAACTGACTGAGCCACCCAGGTGCCCCCAGATTTTTCGTTTTTATGATAACCAACACAGAGATTCCTAACTAATGTATGTACATGGGTGGAAAAGCCAAAAGTTATGTCATAGCTTTTCTAGTATGGTTAAATACTGAGAATGAATTCCTAGCCAAGAAAAGAAACAAAAATATCACTTCTGGTAACTTTGGTTTCAAGAAGCCTCACCCCAGGAATCTTTAGAATCTGTTCTGAACACCTAGGCTTACTTGGTAATGTCACAGAGTGATAGAAAAGGGGCTCTTTATCCTATCCAGTTTGAGCAATGCAGATTTAGTTTTTGTAAAAATCAAAACCTATTTAAGTGTCACTTCATAATGTTGAAAATATTTTCATCGTGTTCTCACAATGAGCTTATAACCAGATCATGGACCTACTCACCACGATCAAGTCAGTGTTGGTTTTGCCATTGTCCCATTCTCTTTGTCTTGCCAATGAAATGATGAGATTTAACATACAACAATAATTATTGGGATCACTTCTTATCTTTTCATGAGGTAGGAATAAAAGTTGGGAATCCTCTACTTCAAATAACACGACTAATAATTTTAAGCTAAGTACTTTTCTAAATCTTTTTTACTCCTTGGTACTAGAGCACTCTGTTTTGCATGGACAGACCAACTCTCTGAATAGCCTGCTCGGGGAACGCAACACTTACCTGTACTCCTTAAAGCAACTGACACCCCCTCTATAGGGTTGTAGTTCCTCACAAAAATGGCTGAAGAGTCCAGATGATCTATTCAGCACCCTGTTCCTTTGGTTTTAAGTTTCTTGTTACTCTGGAGAAGTAGAGGAGACAATAAATACTACAACAAACAACTGTTTCAGAATTTTAAAGTTCTTACCTTCAACATCCCAGGTCCGAAACTCTAAACTCTTTTCTCCCAAGGGGATGGAAAACCCCCATTCAACTTCTGCCCCTCTGGCAGAGACCATCAAAGATTTTCCCTCCTTTTAACTCTACATTGTCTCCAACTCTCCAGGGATGGCTCTCAGGCACCTGTAGGCCTTAAAGGCCATAGAAGTTGGCTTACAAAACTGAAAAAGCTACAGTCCCTTAAGGGCATGGGACTCAAGGCAGTGATCCCAGGCACTTTCAGTGGGGTGCCCTCTATTCCCCCTGGCTGAGTTCTTGAAACAGATTAACCGATTCTTGTTAATGAGGCATACTTATCAGACTTGGCTGGAGATTTGCATTTTAGCTATACCTCAAAGACCAAATTTGGGATGTACTATGGTGGGATTCTCTAGGAATTGCTTACACTCAAGATAAACTCCGTAAGTAAAATGACCATACAATTTATCATCCAAACCTAGAAGTTTGAGAAAGGGGAAGCTACTAATAATCAATGCTGGGAAAACAGGGGTAAACTGTAACTGCCCCAGGCAAACTGGGACCTGTGTTACTCCACCTATAACTAGTCTTTGAAAGAGCGCCAAGACTCCCATTGTCTTACTCAGCTTCCTCTGTGTTTGTCAACTGTTCAAATGGCACCTCCTCTGAGAAATCTTTACGGGCTGTTTCTTCTAGTTATTCATCTTGAGTCTTATTTTTTTACCTTGGCCTATAGAAAGAAAGCTACTGCTTAGCTTAGAATCATGGCTCTGTCTTTATTAGTGGAAAAATCTTGGGCAAAGTATTTAACCTTTCTGTAGTGGTTTCCTCATTTGTAAACGAGGTATTAATAATAGTAGCACTTACTTCATAGGGTATTGTGAGGATGAGTTCATAAATGCAAAGATCTCAGAACACCACCTAGCCTATAAATGCTCAGTAAAGTTATTACTTCCTCTAAAAATGTTGTCTTTTCTTCCGGAGTCAAGTATCAGATCAGTAAAAACATTTGCATTTCTGAAGGCAAGTTTGTATTAGCTACTCTTGCCTCATCTATTTTTTCAAATTCTGATATTTTGAGAACGATTTTTCACTTCAGTGGTGTCCTGAGTGAAAAATTAAGTCACCTTAAGTTCCAATTTATGCTCCAGTACTTGCTGCATTATACAAGTTTCTATTTGCTTTTCCTGGGTAGCTTTCTGGCTTTTATCTTAAAGCATATTCCTGGTTTCTTGTAGGAGGCCCCAACTTTGACACAGAAGTCTTTCCCCAAATCTAGAAGCTAAAAGGGAAAATGTTTTATAAAATGACTTTCTAACTCATTGGGCATCACCTAAAATCTGGATTTGGGGCACACTTTGCTTAAAATGAAATGGTAATATTTTTCATTTATCTTGAAGATAGTCAAATTATAATTTCTACTTTTTAGGACAGAATGTTAAATCTCTGCCTCATGCATCACCCAGCATAAAAGAGTAATCTTTGTAAACTACGGAGACTTGTGTTTTTCTGTATTTTTGGAGGGCACAGAAACATTATTAGAGAGTGAAGATTGTATGCTTTTGATCTTAATTTTAGAATAATGTTCTTTCAATGTTTTATTAAGTAGTTAATAAAATGTATGTAAAATGATATGATGAACCCTCGTATATCTACCATTTGATTTATGAAAATAGAGCATTACCAATATCTGTAAATTCCCCTATATGTCCCTTCTCCTCCCCTCCCTTCCCCTTCCTTTCCCTCAGAGCTTCTAATCCAGATTTTGTGTTTATAACATTCAGGCTCTTAGTAGTAGTTTAACCATGCGTCTATCTTCCTAGACAATATATTATTTGACAATTTTTATAATTTGTACAAATGGAATCATCTTGTAGGCCATCTTCTGTGATTTGTTGTTTACCCTACAACACTATGTTCCTGAGATTCATCCATGATATTGCACGGCTATAATTCATTCATTTTAACTGCCGTATACATTTCCATTGAATTGATGACACAAAAAATTAATTTTACTGTTGATATATTTAGGTTGATCCCCATTTCATCTGCTATTAAAAGTGTTACGAACATTTCTGTATGTATGTCCTGGTGACCATGTTTAAGAATTTTTCTAGGATATTTCTTAGGGAGTGCTGGCTGTGAGGCATGCACAACTTCAAATTTCAGTACTTGATGTCAAACTGTTTTCCAAAGTGGTTGTGCTAATTTACACTACCAAACAGTGTATAGGTGTTCTCCCGTTGCTCCATGTTCTTGCCAACACTTTTATTGTGGTATCTTAAAATTTTTGTCAATTGTATGCATGACATGGCATCTTTGTGGTTTTCATTCCTGTGTTCCTGATTATCGGTGAGTTTAGAATCTTTTCATATGCTTGGGTTTCCTTATCTGTGAAGTACCTACAGAAGCCTTTGGCTCTTTCTTCGTTTGCACTCTTTCGTAAGGGTTTTTCACCTAGTTTAGATCGGTGGTTCTCAACTGGAAGAGAATTTGCTATTTAAGAAACATTTGGCAATGTCTGGAGACATTTTTGATGGTTATGGGTGGGTAGTGGAGAGCTACTGGCATCTAGTAGTGAGAGGCCAGAGATGATGCTAAACATCCTACAATGCGCAGGACAGCCCCCAAAACAAGGAATTATCTGCCCCAGTATGGTACCAGTGCCAAAGTTTGGAAATTTTGTTCTAGATACTAAAATGTTACCAGTTACACATATGTGTTGCAAATATTTTCTCCCAGTTTGTGGATATTTTCATTTTTTTTAATGGTACCTGTTGATAAAGAGAGAATCTTTTTTTTTTTTTTTTAAAGATTTTATTTATTTATTTGACAGAGAGAGACACAGCGAGAGAGGGAACACAAGCAGGGGGAGTGGGAGAGGGAGAAGCATGCTTCCCGCGGAGCAGGGAGCCCGATGCGGGGCTCGATCCCAGGACCCTGGGACCATGACCTGAGCCAAAGGCAGATGCTTAATGACTGAGCCACCCAGGTGCCCGGATGAAGAGAAATTCTTAATTTTAACATAATTGAAGTTATCGATCTTTTCTTCTATGGAGTGTACTTTTTGCATCTGATTTAAGAAAGTACCCTTGTCCTCAAAATATATTCTCCAATTGTTTTAAAATTTTTCAATTTTGCTTTTTTACATTCAAGTCTTTAATCCACCTAAAACTGATTTCTATTTATGATGTAAGAGTCCAAAATTAATTTTTTTATATGGAAAACTAGCTGTCTGAGCACCATTTGTTAAAAATCTGTCCTATGCCCACTGGTCTACGATGCTGTCAAAAATCAAGTTTGAAGAAATGGGCTTATTTCTGGTTCTCTATTTTATTATCACCTTTCAATCTGGAGGCTAAAGTTATTTTCACCTTCTTATAAAAGGAAAACTGACTCCCACGAGTTAAAGGTTTTTATGAATTCTGAAGAAAACAGCTTTTAAGAGGGTTTGTTGTTGTTGTTGTTGTTTCAGTATTTGTTTATATTTTCCAGAGAAACAAAAAGAAGGGGACAGGAGGTTGTTATTTTGAATACCAAGGCCAAATACCTCTAAAATGGAAATGAACTCACTCACTCACTTTAGTGAAAGTTGTTTTGATTCTCCACAAACTACATTTGCCTACAGTATACATTTCAGGAAGGCTAGAAATGCATTTACTTTTCAAGTAGCCAAAGGGAACCTTTTCTGAAACACTTTATTAACACCTATAATTTAACCTTGTATATCATCTAATTCTTTAATCTAGGGGTTATAACAGAAACATCCATATTCTTTCCTAAATAGTGAGAAAGGCCATTTTCCTACTGCTAAGAAGCCGGCCCTTATATAAGGACATTTCTGACTCCATCATTCCTGGAAAGGAATCCATAGCTCAAAGAACAGTCATACCTGTCCATCAGCCTCAGCCTTCAGCTTTCAGATCCAGAAGCTCCAAAGCCAGTGGCAAGCACTAGTTACAGAGTGAGGCAGAGAACAGAAGTATACATATCCTTCTTTGCCCTTTATTCTTTTCCTAACGCTTTCTCTTCATTGTCATTTATCCCACACAAGCTCCACACAAGTATTCAATAACACTGAAATGGGATCAGTTTACTGTAATACAAACTATATTTTGGGTGTGAGTAAATCAGGAGCAAAAATATAAATTCATTGACTCAGAAAAAGAAACTTAGCATGGGGACAAAAAGTTTCCAGAAAAAGAAAAAAAAATTCAATTTCTTCATCAGGAAATACTCTGAAAACTATTCCCTTTTTAAATATGTCAGTTATTCCTTATTAATATTATTTATTTTCCTGAACATTCTTGAAATGATTATCAGCTAATAATGTAATTATTCTGGAGCCTTCATGTACGGGTTTTAAGGAGGAATAAGAAGGGATTTTCTATGGCGACAGCACATGTTCCATGATGTCCACTTTTGATATTTGATCACCATGAAACTTGCCAACTGATGGCCAAGCACTGACGTAGATTGTTCATGAAATACTCTGGTTGGACAGGGTGTTTCTAGCTGATTACCGTGTCCAAGATCAGGTGGTAGTTAAACTCAAGGAGGCTAAGAGGATTTATGAGATCTAGAGCCCTCAAACTGATTTTATCAAATCTATTAGATCTGGAGCTCTGTTTAGAACCACATAGCAGAAAGAGGCTTAATCAAAATTCAGGCGCCTATATTTATCAAATGGCCTGTATATATCTGTTGCAGAAATATGGGTATAAGTAGTCTCTGGCGGCCTTTTCAGGAAATTTTCACGGGTTAAGTTACAGGTTTCCACCCCATTTACTCACATTAAATAAGCACTTCCCTGAAATGAATGTGCAAAGACAAACAAGAGTGGCCCGAGACACGGTAAAGACACACAGAAATAGAACTTTCTAGTAATTTAGAAGTATGCAACGCTGTAAATAAGCCAGACTGAGAAATCAACTTGTTTTGCAATGACCCCTGAATTGAGGCCACGAGCACAGCTTTTGACTACTCAAAAAAAAAAAAAAAAGGCAAAGACATAAACATAAAAGCCCTGCAACCATCAGACGCACATACAGTCAACCTGTTGAATGTGGAAGATTCTGATCACTCTGCGGGTTTACCTGCCAGGAAAAGGGGCATCTCTGTGTCTCCAGGTAGGAAAGAAGTAGCAGGAGTCATGGCCCAGGCTCCGGAGAGTAGCCACGTCTCCCCCCAGGGGAGCTGCACCCGCGCTGTACCTGTTTCCTGGTGCTACAAGCTGTGCTCACACGCAGACTAGAAAGCCCTGCAGGTGAAACATCACAATCACACGGACAACAATGCCAGGAGCACAGGAAAGGCCACCCTCCATATCAAAGTCACACTCAAGGTGCTGCCAGGGACCCTGGACCCGGAAAATGGTATAACCCTACCCCTAAAAAGGCTCCTCCACACCCGGCCTCCACATACATTGGGGACAAAGGGTGCCAACTGGATTGCTGTGATACATGTGAATAAATGTGAAACACGGTTAGTAGCTAAAATTTCCACCCAATTGTTGAAAATACAATTTCAGATGTGGTGGGGGGCGGTCATCTTAGCTCTTAACACGCCGTCATCGCATCTGGCTCAAACTTAACGAAATAGGACAGAACTGTGCTTGGAACCGCAGAAAACCGAAAATGGGACAACTGGGCAATTGCTGCTCCCCGTGCCCGGGGGTGTTCGGGTACCACGCTGGGCATCCCTGCTTAGAGGGTCCGGCCCGTCTGGTTAGAGACCGCGGCGCGCTGCCTCCGCCTGTCCCTGAAGACGACAGTAGTCCTTCCTGTCCCCGGGCTTCCGAGCGGCGGCGCGGCCAGGTGGGAAACCTTACAGTGCGCGGTCCCCAGACAGGTTCCCAGGTGGAGAGCAGTTTTAGCTCTTCTGTGGGCTGGCTTGAGGCGGCAGCGAGTCCTACAGATGAGTGGGTTCTGAGGGCAGAGCGCCGAGAGGCGGACTTGGGGGAGCCGCTTCCGCGCTTCCCAGGACCATTTCCTGGGCGCCAACAGCTCGGAACGCAAACGCCCGGGGGCGGTGCCACTGACCGTTAGCCGTGGGCGGGGCCTGGGGTCACGTGACCCGCGCCGGTTCAGAGCCCGGCGTGGGCGGGAGCACGCAGAGCCCCTCGGCCCTCGGCCGCGCGCCTTGCGTGCGCGCGCAGGCCGGGGGCGGGGCGTGTGGGCTGAGCCTCCGGCGCGCTCGGGGGCGGAGGCGGGGCCCGAACGGGGCGGAGGGCGGGGCGGGGCCTCCTCCTCCTCCTCCTCCTTTTTCTCCTCCTCCGCCTCCACCTTCTCCTCCCTCTGCGAGGCTGGGCTGGCGGCGGCGGCGGGAGCCGGATGATCCGCCGAGGGGCGCCTCGGCCATGACTGCGGAGCTGCAACAGGACGACACGGCCGGAGCAGCCGACCGACACGGCTCGGTGGGCCCCGCGGCGGCGAGCGGGGGCCGGGGGTGGCTCGGGGTCTCGGGAGGGGAGGGGGCTGCGGGGCGCGGGCCGGAGCGGCGCGGGGCCCTGGCGGGCCTGCGGGGCTGCGGGGCTGCGGGGCGTGGAGCGGGAGGGGGCTGCGGAGGGCGCCGGGGCTGGCTGGGCGGGGGCGAGGGCGGTGGGCCTGGGAGGGGGCTGAGGTCCATGCAAGGCTCGGATCCCGGGCGAGCTGAAGTTCGGGGGCAGTAGGTATTTTGGAGAGCCAGCTATAAAGGGCAGGACGTGGGGTGGTGTGCATCAGGGATCTTTAGGGGGAGCGGTCTTGGGCCCTGACCTGCGTGAGAAACTTCCAAAGAGGGCAGCTTAGGTGGGTTTTGTGGTTTTTAGTTTTAAGTCCCTTTTATGGCAGTACTGTTTTAAAGTGTCTAAAGCAGACCGAACTTACCTGACTTAAAGCCGGGATTGATCAACACCTTGTGAAAGACCAGGGGTCCTGTTTACCACTCCCTACCTTCCCTTACCTCAGCACCCCCGCTCCTTTTTTCTTTTCTTTCTTTCTTTTTTAAATAAACTGCGAGCAGCCTGCCCGGTGCATTCATCAGTAGATTTTTAAGGAGGGAGGAGGAACAGCGCGATGAATAGAAGGTATTCTCATAAGTGCCTTCCTGTTCCTATTATCTAAGAAGATTGAAATCAATACAAGGATTTCTGGGCTAAGTTGGTGAGAGTGAAACACTGGTTTGGGAGAAAATCAAAGGGCTGATAATGCCGTGTGTAGAAACTTGGTAAGTGGGCAATTTGAGAATGTCTTCTAATGTTACTTTGGAAAGTTATAACTTAACACCACCTCCTCACCCCTCAACTGCCGTGCTTTTTCGAGACCGAATGGGAGACCCGTGCCAAGTATTCCAATGAGAGTCTGGAAATGAGGAATTTCATAAAAATATTTATCATACAAAGCTGTCAGATACCTCCACGTGGGAAACCTTTTGTGCCTGTTTATTCTTTTCCTGCTCACAGGAGACACGTGGTGTATAGTGAACACATTTCCTTTTTAATCTCCTCCAGGTCCTGGGCTCCAAAATGAAAGTAACATGGATGGTACTTCACGTTCCGCTGATTTCTAATGGAGATGCTGTGGTTAGGTGTTCACAAATACCTTTTGGAATCTGAGGCAGGATTTTCTCTGGTTTTATGGTCATTTCTATTTGTTTTTAGGACAGTGACTTCAAAACAGGTGGGAAAAATCCGAGTTTTGAGATAGTTGTGTTGATTTAGAGAAGAGGCTATTTTAAGGGAGAGTAGGTCATATTTAAATTTGTTCGGGGACCATGTGCCTGGTCATCAACAGCATCTTGGTTTACCTCTGCCACAGTTTGAGTAGTGACCACTCTCTCAGCACTCTGAGGGTTTGTATGTGAGGTGTTTGATGAGCACTTGTATGTAAGTCATAGCTATTTTGGGAAAACCTGGAACTCGGTTGGCTGTGGCTGGCTGGAGTACCCTGACTCCTGGCCACCTGCAGAGTGATGACATTCACTGTTCTTCCCAGTGATTCGCCCCATACAGGCAGCCGATAAGCTTGGAATGCTTGATAATGTTTGCCCCTTTTGTTTTTGCTAAGGAAAATGCTTGAAATTAGCAGGCTAGGTTGAAGGAATCTTATCTAGGGAAAGTACGTTTCACATCACAGAGGAAAGATTTTAATAACTTCCTCATCTTGATGAGTTTCATGTTAGAACGGACTCTATTTCAGCTTCTCTGAAGCACTCTGCATTTCCCTTAAAGGGTCTTTAATTGTTCTGGTTGAGAAGAGCTATCCTCCCCTGACACTCAGAAGCTATTTAAAACCTAGAATGCTGCCCTTCCCTTATTGGTCAGTTGTGCACGGGACAGACAGAACCCTTTATAGCCTCCCAAGAATTTTAGTGAGAAAAATGCGGCACCCTTGGAATATGTTCTCAGGATGTCCTAGAGTCTGAAAGAAGGTGCTTTGTGATATCGCTAAACACCCCACACTGCAGACAGATAATTCGAACATCTACAGAGATTTCTTACAGACAGGTTTCTGTGTTTTAATCAGCTCTTGACTTAGATAAAAACCAGCAGCAACATTTACTGTTACTGTAGGATAAACAACTTGAAGTCAGGTTGGTTCTTATAAACCTGTCATCCTTGGCAGCTGCCTGAGGATTCATCACATGTTCCTGACGCTAACTGGAGCCCTATGAGAACCTGCCAGTTTCAGTGAAAATTTAACGTCCTTTTTGCTTTCTCTTGATTTATTGGCTTTTCATTCGCGTTTATCTTGTCTCGTTAGTTGTGATTTTTGGAACATCAGCCAGTCAGTGCTTGGTTGGCTCTCACAACTTTAATGCCTCTTCAGCTGCAAACAGTTTCTGCTCACACAATGAGTACAATATTTGTAAAAAGCACTGACAAGTAACGCCTCTCCAGGCAAGATCTTTCCATGTGTTATATTTCATCGAAGAAATGTAAGCAGGAGCCAAGTGAAGCAGATGTTTTTTAAGGAAAATAATGATGCTGGTAATAGTAGGAGCTAACGTTAATTGAGCATGGAGTATATGCCAGACCCTGTGCTCAGAACGTAACCCGTGTTATCTCAGGACTTACAACAACTCCATGAAGTTTTCATATAGGAAGGCTTATATTTGCTAAACAATTTGCCCAAGATGACCCACCTAGTAAATGGTACAGCTAGGATTGAACCCAAGCTATTCCGAGTCTAAGAGCCCAAGATAGCCTTGATCCTACTTCTTAGTCAGTGGACCCATTGTCTTAGGTCAGAAACTTTCTTTGACCCTCCAGAACTCTCCTGATGTTTTAAACTCCGTCCTCCCTGCATTCTTTCTAAATACATAGTTTCTTTTCTACTTGGCTGAGCCTGCTGCGATCAAGAGATGGGGTGGTTTTTGTTTTTGTAAGGAGATGTCTTATGTTTTTTCCTTTTGTTTTTCCTCTTAATTATCTCTTTTCTCTCGGTGTAAGAGGCACCACCCTTCCCTTCTTCCTTTATTTCTTAGAGATGACTCTAGATCCGTGGTGTCTGGAGAGCTTTTGGATTGTGATTGCTGGAGGAGGATGTACTGGCCTCAGTGGGTGGAAGCCAGGAATGCTGTACAGGATAGGCCCCCAAAACAGTTATCTGGCCCCAAATGTCAATAGCGCTGAGCTCGAGAAACCCTGAGCTAAGTGATGTCTCTCCTCGCTCGTCTCAATTATCTTGCATTTCCTTTATTCTGGCCTAAGCCCCAGACACCTTCGTTGTCTTCTGTTCTCTTGAGACTCAAAATATGGTCCATGGACCAGCAGCATCTGCATCACCCAGGAGCTGTTGGAAACATAGAGATTTGGGTGTGCTAGAGCCAGCTTGTATTGCCTTTCCAGCTGAATGTGGCATCTCTTCCCAACTCTGTGTCCAGTGACCTCATGTTGGTAGCTTGAAATCATCATGGTGGGAGTATTTATACCAAGGAACTAAACAGGCTCCACAAATCAACGCACCACGGTTTGGGCCTCCACCCTGGACCTATTGAATCGCAGCTTGCCTTTGGATAACATCCCTGGGTGATGCCTTTGAGAAACTCTGTCCTACAGTGCAGAATTCCCACTTTCCCTTTAGCTATGCACAGGTGTCCCCAGTCCTCCAACAAAACAAAAACAACATCGACTTCTGCCCTGCCCAGCTGTTGACCTCACCCAGCACCTTCCTTTTGTTTATTTTTTGACCAGAATTTTCTAAATCCATCTGTTTCTTAAGTGTTTTCTCAA